ATATATATATATATATATATATATATATATATATATATATATATATATATATATATATATGTATATAGTGTATATATATTATTGGGTTGCCCAAAAAATCCTGCGACACTTGGAATTTGAGGATCGCTAGCTATTTGAAAGCGAGTAGCCCCCAATTTTGATCTACGGTAATGAGGACCACACCTAGCGTGTATTGCGAAATATTATAAAAAAGCTTCTTCTCTCACGGAAAAACAGTTATGGATCCTACAAATCCGAGTATCCTTCGACCCATCGTGTACTATGAATTCCTACAAGGACATTCTGCTAGAGAAGCAAATAATAACATCTGCGCTGCCTTCAAGAAAGATGTGGTACACCATTCCACTGTCATTCGCTGGTATCACCGCCTCGAGTCCGGAGATATTTCTATCGAAGGACAGGAACGTCCTGAACGCCCGTCAACTCTTCACGATGATGATTTGCGCAGCGCTTTGATCTCAAAGCTGAACAAAACCACTCGGGAAGTAGCAACGACACTCGGGTGTAGCAAATCAACCGTCAGCAATCGTCTTGCCTCCCTTGGCTTCAGCAATATTCTTTCGATATGGGTGCCTCACGAACTTCGTGAATCGGACCAGGCCTGTCGTGTTAGCATTGCCGAGTCATTGCTTCTTCGACAGCACAGGAAGGATTTTTTGAATGGGATAGTGACAGGAGACGAAAGCTGGGTGCTGTATGGAAATGATACCCGCAAGAGAGTGTGGTTGCCAAAGGGCGAACTGCCGCCGTAGCAACCGAAACGTGGTTTGCAACAGAAGAAGATTCTCCTATGTTGTTGGTGGAATTGTGATGGGATGCTCTACTACGGATTCCTGAAAAGTGGCACTACTGTGACGGCGACGACGTACTCTAACCAGTTACAGAAGGTAGCTGATGCAATCCTTCACAATTAACCAAAACCACTGGAAACCTATCTCCTCCACGACAACACTCGTCCCCACGTGGCAACGATGACGCGTCAGAAAATTCAGGAGCTAGGTTGGGAAGTACTACCTAAGCCACCGTCCTCTCCTGATCTAGCCCCTTCCGACTATCACTTGTTCCGAGCCTTGAAGCGGCACCTATGAGATTAGAATTTCGATAAGCAGGAGCAACTCAAAATGGAGATGGGCAACATCCATGCAATCCGCTGATTTCTGGAGAAGTGGGATAGACAAACTGCTAGTGAAATGGATGAAGGCCATCGATAATATCGGCGACTATATCATTGATTGAACTTGTCTTTTATTGTATAAAAAACGATGTAAAATTTGTGTTGTTAGTGTCGCATTATTTTCTGTACAACCCAATATATATATATATATATATATATATATATATATATATATATATATATATATATATATATACATAAGTCGGATCGCCCAGCTAACGCAGGCTCTCCTCCTTTTTGTGTCAAACACATTATCCCGAGAAATGTTGAACTGAGAAATTTTTTTCCCTTTTTCTAAGTTTGTTTATGGTTTACAAGTTTTCTTCCGCTGTTTAGCTGAGTTTGTGTTTTTCTCGCTGTTTAGCTGGCTTTCCTCCTTCTTTGATAATGTTGTAGAAAGTCTGACTCTCCACTCCTTTTTTGGGACAAATGACAGTTTCCTTCACACGAAATTTGATACAGGACTAACAGGGCAGTGCAAATGGTATTCACTTAAGTCGGTGCTTACGCCTTTGATTGGAAGTCACGAACTTTTGCTCTCTTTTCTAGAGATAAATGCCCATCAAAAATCCAACTGTTAGACAATTAAAGATGATGCTGCGGAGATGTTCTGAGTGATGATAGCACCGTTATGAGATGTCGTTTATCAATGAATCCTTTTCTTTAAGGAGATATCGCTAAATGAGAATTCCAGATTACTGGCGCCCGATCAAGTTTGTCGCAAATGATATCAAGCAAAAAAGATCCTTCATTGAATCACAAACCTTACTAGGTAGCGGTCGTAGTCTAACAGTAAGAAATAAACAAAATTCTATTCTGCTCAGCGTAATGCCGCTAATGGATCCCTATTACTCGTCTTATCGATTGAAACATACTGAACAGCCAAAGCTATATTGCAAATACCGAAGAGTTAGAACTTTGATCGGTAGGTGGCCTCTCTTAGGTCCCTTATTTTCTCTTAACAGTTATGATCAGTTCTTGTCACCGATTACCCACGATCCCGTCATATCCTACATTACTTACCAAAATGCTGAGGTTCCACTATTAGTACGAAAAGTGTGATCCTACCAAAATTC